CCACTTCAGTTCAGCACAACATTTTTAAATTAAATTTCTTTTAAAAAGAACAGTATCTGAATTGTTCATTGTCTATAACCACTTCAGTTCAGCACAACATTTTTAAATTAAATTTCTAAAAGAACAGTCTAAATTGTTCATTCTGTTTGAATGACCAATTACAGTTCATTACAGAAAATTTACAATGCAGTATTGTGAAATCCAGAGATAAGACTGCACACTAGTTGCCACACAGATTTTTGTTTACACAGCCAAAGAAACTTTCCCTATCACCTTTCTCTCACCACCCTTAAAACAAAGGCCTACTTTACCAAACAAAAAGGAGACAGGTGAGAACCCAGGTCTCTCTCCCATCAACCTCTTGCCAAAAACATAGACCCCTAAAGACCAAGTAAAGAAGCACTGAGATGGGGTCACCATCAACACCTGAGAAGTAATTCTGGGCATCCTGTTGGACCTGATAGCTTTTATATACTTCCTCACCACCTCCTTCTCTCTTTTCTCATCTGCACCCAGAGCAGAAGTTACTAGACTTGCTGCAGATGCTCTGCATCTACAGAGGAGTTCAGTCCTTGTGTTCTTTCTGGGAGACTCATCGGCAGACCTATTTACAGACATATTTCCATTGCAAAGTAGCAGAGAAAAATTGGAAGTGGTTCCAAAAGCAATTTTCTGAAGAGGACAAAGGATAACCTCCTGCTCCTACAGGGCTCAGACATGTGCAACATTAACCTGCCAAGGAACCACCTCACTCTGACAACAAGCTTGTGCTGCAGACATCAGGTTACCTCCCCTCAGCTCAGCACACTCCAGCCAACAAAAACAGAGTGCTCACACAGGAGCAGAAGGCAGGCAGGTGTGTGAGCTCTGCAGTATCACAGACATAGCATCTGTTTGTGATAACTTTTTAAGTTAGATGAGAATTACAGGACATGCAGAGGACCAGTTTCCCCCTTCAGCCTCTGTGTGGTTCCTACAATTATGTGGTGCTGCCGAGCAGTACCAGCTTTAACAGCCAGATGTGCCACCAAAGGCTTCCTCATGCAAAAGAAATCCAAGTTGTCCTTTCTCTCTTCTTTGTCTTATGCCATGATCAGAGGGTATTCTGGTGCTGATTTGACAGAACTTCTCATGAAGATGACATTAACAAACATAAAAATGAACTAATTTATCTTAATTAAATACACTACCCTTACAGAAACAAATTAACAAAACCCCCAAACCCATCGAAATAACAACAAAACCCCAACCCACAGAAACAAAGAAAGAAACGCAAAATCACTGCCCTGAGGACTTTAGATTGAATGTACTCCAAAGATATTTCAGAAACACCAGCATTATAAGCTATCCTATTACCCCTGCTTGAAGAGCAGATCTGAAATACATGCTGGTTAATAAAAGCTATATAGTGTGTCTTCTAAATTTCTCTCAAAAGAAGAATTTATAATTTTTCTACTCAGCCACACACCATAAAGCAAACTTAGAGAAAATATTTGTATTGCAATTAAAACAAACTAAGCAGTCAAAAAGCTGAGCAAGACTCACTTTAAAAGCCTGTGACAAAGTGATTTAAAATAATATTCAGGAAGAAAAAGCAGCTTGCCAGAGGAAGGATAATGTTCTCAAAACTGGGTGCTCAGTTATGATCCTAAATCTAGTATTAGGAGGCTTATGTCAAAGTGGCTTATTAAAAATGAAGACTGACATTATTTTGCTGGCAGTGGAGATGAGTGAGGTCATCTCTAGTATTTGTAGATAGATACTAGAATTATAACAGCACTGCAGCCAGATGAGCTAAAAATAGACCTTTTCTATGTCTACTCTGTGGATACAGAAACTTAGTCTGATACAGAGCATTGCAGAACAGATACAATGTTTTATCCTGAAGATTTACAGTTTCTCTCTCATTTGTGTTCCACAAAAGGTAACAGAAGTATGATGTTCCTCTTCATATACTGTTTTTCTTTCACTGTACCCAAGTCCAGTTTGCTTTTACTTTCATCTGCAGCACTAGCATGTGTGGCCCACAGACAAGAAGGTACCTGACAGGACTGACACCTTTGCTGATTCATGGGTGGCCAGTTGCCTGAATTACCACTTATGAAAAGGGACAAAGAAATTGCCTAGTGGCAGTGATACCACTGCTTCTGCTGGGAGACGTCTACTTATCCGGGTGGCTACTTCCTAAGGAGCCACTATCACCTCCCACCCTTCAGTCCACCTGAGCTGTCCAGGTGCACAGTCCATGTCCTCTTGCTCCTACTACATGGTGATGCTTCTTGGTGGAGAACCAAGAAGCCTGTAGAACAAAGTCACCACCGAACCTCCTCAGGAAAAACATGTTGGAATACTTTACCCTCCAACTCAGACCAACACTAAGAACAGCAAGCACCATGATCATTATCACTAGCTGAAATACATGTATCAGCAAAGTTTCAATTCCCTTATTTCTCTGTAGTGGATTGGTGTTTGCTTGGGTTGTGTTGGATTTTTAAATTGTTCCATAATAACTTGCATTAGCAATACTGTTGCTGGAGCAGCTGACACTTGCTAGTATTTAACTTCCACAGAGTAGCACCCCTGTTACAGGTTCAATGCTAGAATTCAACTCTGTTTAGCACTAATAAAGATGTGTGCTTTTTGGACTACAAAATCTCTTTGACGTATTGTTTTATGATTTTGTGTTTAAGGCAGAGTGATCAAACATATGCACTTTAAATAGGTATATAGCTTTTTTAAAGGGGCATTTCCTAGATAGCAAGTTATCAGCAAAATAGAAACCCATCTATCAGTTTAACTGCTGTCTTTTAAACAACGAGGGAGGAAGAGGAGACTTAAGCCCACTTAGCAGAAGTATAACAGAAAGTTACTGCAGCACTTGCTGTGTTGTTCTTTGTGCTCTGTAGAATGCCTGTGAAAGGTTAAAGTGAAGCCAGGTCTCAGCAGAGCTTTACCAGCATGGAGGTTAACCAGGTTAGGTAGGAACTGAACACACTAAACACGTTTCCTGGGATGTTTGCCGTGAAAAGGCAAGAGTCAGTTTGTTTGGGAGGGTGAACAGCATGTATTTAGACATAATAAGGGGACTCATTTGTAAGCAAGTATACTGGGGAACAATCTATGAAAGCAAAATTATTTAAGTGAGGGCACACCTAGAAAACGTAACATTTTGAACCAATTATTCTTTTTTTGATGCTGCCAGGGGGGCTGAAAGAGATAGAACATAGTGCCTTTCCTAAGACAAAATTTCATCATTTGCACATCAAATTGGGAACCTAACAACCCTTTCACAGATCAGGAACTGCGTGTTAGAGCAAACTAATTTGAGTTTAATGAGAGGCAGAATCTCTCCAGCTGAACAATTTCTCATTTCCCACGCAGCTCATCAAAACACATACCCAAATGCCCTTGATGCCCTGACACTTGTACTGCATGCATTAGCACACCCACATACACAAGATTTTCAGCATAAACTAAGACACTAAAGTGATCATAAAACATAACAAATGAACTTTCCAAAGGTGACAACACTAGGGTAATATTTAAACATCTTCAATACCACCTAACCCTGTCTCTTTTCTGATCAATACAAGCAGTTAATTTACTGTCTCCCGTGCACCCTTCAGCTGCTAAGCATGATCATGCCAGTGCATAACTTACTTATATGCCCCGTTGTTAATTTGTCAGTTTTCAGCAATGAGCATATGAGAAGTACACAGCAGTGCAGCAAAGAGATCAGTGACTAAGAGCAAATTGGGATGGTTTAAGGGAAGCATCAGTAGAGGAAAATTCCAGTGCTTTGCAAGCAAGCACATAGCTCTCAAGAGCAGTAGTACTCATCGGGGAGGAAACGCTTCACTTTCCCCCTCCCCTCGAGTGCTGAATTTCTCACGTGTGGTTACCCTCAATATGCTTATCCCGACCAACATCGGGCAGGTGTTTCACATGGTTCAGCAGGAACAGATTCCTCTGGCGAAGGAGAAGAAGTGCCCCCGGCGCTTATGGCAATAGCCAATCACCAGCGGACAAATAATTTTTCGAATGGATGGCTGCTCTTCACCGCAACCCACTCTGCTCTCTGCGTAGCAAACTGCGCACCGAGCACAACCGCGGAGTTCCCCGCGGAGCGAGGGCTCTGCGGCCCCAGGTCGGGCTCACCTGCCGCCCTCTGCGCCAGGCATTGACAGCACCGGGGGGAGCAGAGCAGCACCATTAACATCATCCCGCAGAGCCCAGCTCCTCCGGGCCATCAGCCCCACAAACGCAGGGGAGACACGCAGCTTCTCCTGAGGGATGTACTTTCCCTTTACTCACATCCACCGAGAAGAGGGGCCTGGAGTGGGCGAACTCAACTCAGTAGAGCCCTCGTTCCACCAGGAGGGCTCGGGATGAGCCGCAGACAGTGTCAGGGTGCCTGGTCAGTGTCACTGCTGTCAGTCGGGGTCCGCAGACGCGGGCCGCCGGTGACAGCAGCGCGCCGACAGCCCGGGAGCGAACCCGGAGGCTGAGCACGCTCCTTTCCGCGTGGGCAGCGCCATGGCGCTTTCCAAAGTCATCTCTGCGATGACCTGCACGGCTCGGCACTCCATGCTGCTGGAAGCACGGCCGGCGAGCTGCCTTTCTGCTGCGGGGAGGGTCACCGGAGCGCTGTGCCCGGCAGCACGGCGGCGAGGCGCACCTTCCCGCAGGACACCGCTCCGCTGCCGCACGGGAGGCTGCGGACCGCGTGTCCCCCCTCAGTGTCCTTCTGTCCCCAACCCCAGGAAAGGCGCCGGCGAGGGGAGGGGATCCAGGAGCTCTGCGGCGAGGGGCTCCCCTGCCCGGGGCTCGGCCTACCGGGCGCTGCCGCCCGCCCGCCGCAGCGCTTCGGCGCTCCTCCGGCGGCACGGAGGGGCGCGGCCGGTACCGGGCCCTCCGCCGCCCCCGGCCCTCCCGGCACCTGCCGGGGCTGGCACCGGGCGCTGAGGCGCGGGCGGCGCCGCGGCCCCGGCGGGACTCACCGTAGATCATGGCCAGGCCGGTCTCGTGGAGAAAGCGGACGCGCCGGTGCTTGAAGAGCCAGATGGTGAGGATGGTGAGAGTGAGGAGCAGGATGAAGGTGAGCAGGCTCACGCTGTCCTGCCGGTGGCTCTCCTCCGCCTCCTTCTCGGTGGCGAGCTCCTCCATGGCGCTGCTGCTGCCGCCGCTCCGCTCCGCCGCTCGCAGCCCCCCGGCCGCCAGCAGGAGCAGCGGCAGCAGCGGCAGCCGGCGGCGCAGGGGCCCGGCCATGGCTGCGGGAGCCGGGATGCCGCGGCAGCCCAGGGGCACTGCCCACCGCCCGCCCGGCCGGCCGGCGGGGGAGGGAGCGGGGAAGGGAAAGAAGGACGGCGGGAGGGAGCGGCCCCGGCGCGCAGGAGCCCGCCCGCCGCTCCCTCCCCCGGCCCCTTAAAGGCGCAGCCCCGCCGGGAGACGCGGTGTCGCTGCTCCCCTGTGCCCGGCCCGGCCAGCCCCGCCCGGCCGAGGTGCAGGGGTGGCGAGGTTTCCCCCGCCCCGCGGGGCTGGTTCTGCACCGGGAGCTCCCTCGGTGCGCGGGCAGAGCTGCGGGGCCGCTCTCCCTGCCCGCCGTGCGGAGCGAACCTGCGAGCGGCTCTCACACCGGGGCCGTGCTGGCAATCATCGCCCCAGAGCCCGCCCTGCCCACGGCCGGGCTCGAAATGGGCCAGGAGCGGACGGCCCCGTGGGATCTGGCAGGGAATAAGCGCTATAAGCGCTGTCGTCTTTTTTTTTTTTTTTTTTTTTTTTTTTTTTTTTTTTAAAATACGAAGTAGGAAAACTTACTAAACGTAAATTGCTGACTTGGAGGTTTTCATCCAGGTACATCCTACTGGACATCGGCTTCTAGGAAACAAGACAATTGTAGGAAATGAATAGAGAGCTAGTCAGCAATTTTCATTTGGATTTTTTTGTTTTTTACTGTAAAGAAAAAGAGCATATGTTTACTGTTTGAAAATCATCTCGAGTTAGGGGAAGGAAAGAAAAGTCACTTTTTGCAAGCGACCCCAAAATCAGCACTTTCTCCTTTAGATTATTTTCTTAAATGTGTCACAACCACTTTAAAAGATGAAACAGATGAAACATTGAGCAGTGAAATTGTTTGGGTTTAAAGAAATACAAACAGCTGCAAAACTATGTTTGTGTTTTCTTTTGGGGTTTTGTTGGTTGGTTGGTTTTGGTTTTTTGTTTTACCAGCTTTGGCAGGAGAGTGCTTTGCCTTTTTCTACCAGAGGAATATCCCCCAGCTTCTAGTGGTGGTGTAAGCAGTGCTGACATTTCTGCTCCTGGGGCCTTTGTCCCAGAGTTGTTTTTAATCACAACATCTAACATGTATTTTTAGCCATAATTTTGTATAAAAAGAAAGCACAATAACTTTGGCCACATTTTTAATTAGTTGCATGCCAGGTCTTATCTCCTTTAATGTTGTGCTCTTTCTTGACATTGTTGCCATGTTTCTGAGGGTATTTATTGGGATGCCCTAGCCACAAGAAACTTTTTTCTCCTGCTAATACATCTGCAATTGTCTTTGTGTTACATGCTATTTTTTAGAAATACCCTTTTATTAATATTTAAAGATGACAGCTATGTAAATCTACACTTCTATTTATATGTAGTCCTTTTAAAGACAGTATTTATGCAAATTCTCCTTAACAACCTTAGAAATCCAATGTAATTAGGTGCAATTATATTTAAATATTTGATTGTGCAGGACTGAAAGCTTACTTTGATAGTGCCATCATTTGTAAGCCTCTTAGAGATGAAAAGAAGTCATTTGCCTTGAAGACCTATCTCTTAAACCTATGTGAACCATTAAAAATTACTGCCTCAAGGCTGACTTATGTTAAATCTCACATTCAAAATTAACATTTCTGGTATAATGAGAGCATTATACCACTGAATCTTTACTGTGTATCTTTAGGATATACAATCTACATACAATGTAACATATATCTTTAGGACATAACAACCTACAGACCTCCTAGCAGACTAGAGTTATGCATTACAGTGCTAAGTATGTGTAATGCTAATAAAGTTGTAAAATAAAAAACTGGATAGCAATAGCAGGCTCTTCTCTGTGGGTTTGTTTTTTATGCACTGCATAGTGCTGGGCAAAGTCTGTCACTACATGATGGCTCTTTTTAAGGAGACAATTTCCATGTATATTGTAATTTTATCCACCTCTCAGCTGAGCTGCAGTCAGGGTCTTAAGTTACTTCCTGACAAGTCTTCTACCAGTAACCTGTGTTTTATCCTTCTGCAGCTGACCACATACTATGCCTCTTGCTCTCCATGCAATAATGAGAAATATCCAGGCATTTGTTTTAATACTTAAGGACAAATTTTCCTTTTCTTTTTTTTGTCAGCTGAACTCTGTTGTTTATGGAGGAAAGCATTCGTCCGTGGTTTGATGTGTCAGTGCTACCATCAGCTCAAGCCTTGAACCCTCACAATCACATTTATCAGGCTTTTTCATGCCTTGTACAGGTATCACCTTATCTGTTCTTCACTTATTTTTATCAAATTAAAAATATAATGTTCACTACTGTTGTGTGCAAAAGTGAGTACAGCTTATTCTTTCTCTGGACTGAGTGGGTGTAACTAAATCCTGTATGCAAAATGGTGATGGGAACATGATTGTTTCTGTCTGTGCAGAGCATCAAAGTTTAATAGTGATGTAATTGACTTCTCTTCAACTCAGTGTTCCATCTAATAAGTTGTTGCCAAGGAACTTGATATGCAGAGCACGTTTGATTTGTACAGGCTATAACTTGCTGTCTCTTTACACTCATGGATTGGTATCATGGTGCATAAATACTTAAACTGATTCAAACAGCATCATCTAAAGTGTATGCTATCAGCTAAGGAAAAAACATATCAGGTTGAGCTTCTTTGTACATCTCTGTAAACCAGGCTGCATCCTTGTAAGAGGGTTGTGTAGATGCAGCTCGGCTCCTCGCTGTGGTGTAACTCCCTGGTCTCCCTGCTGTTTTCAGTCCATTAGGAACATCAGTAATCTCACCCCAAGGGGTTGCTCCACCACTTTAAGAGCCCTGCAGTTACAGTTTTTGTTCCAGACTGGTTTTGGCAGGTCTCCACCTGCCAAAGCTGTTCTGCACTAAAACTTCCTATAGGTGGGACCTCTGCCTGACAGCCACCACATATGTTGCAGAAGTCAGCCTGCCTGCTTAGCAAAACTGTCATTTGATTCTATTCCTGCTTTCTATCCATTTGTTAGTTTTGATCTGGACCCAGGCAGAGGTCTTTGATCTGCTTGCTGTTTGAGAGGCCCATCTTGAGGCAGAAACAATGAGGTATGCTTTGGGAGATGGAAGGCCAAGTGGATAACAACAGAGGTATAAAAAGCTTCAAACTAAACTGTAAGGTGGCAATGAAATAGGTCAGAGGACAAAATATCATTCAACAGAGTTCAGCCATACTTGGAGGATGCAGGAGGATTTTTGTATTAAATGCTAATAAATGTTTACATTTGTACATAGTTGGTAATTGACTTGTAGGATTAAGTCAGGAGTGTGGCCAAAACACCACAGAGACCAATATGGTTCAGCCTACCCTTTGCCTACCAGTTTTGTCTAATTAAAATGTTCATTCTGCCAGAAGCACCATCAAAGAGTCCATTCAACATTTTTATAGCTTCATTTGTCAAGAAAGTCATTGTTATCACATGAACTGATACACACTTTGGGTTTATTCTTATTCCCAGAGTTGAATAATGTCATGTAAGGCAAGTGCAAGGTCCTATTTTCAATCACTCTCTCTCCAACTGTTGGTGGTAACATCATCCACTCCTTGTCAATCACACTGGAGAACTGGTGCTCTATTGAGACCTTTTCTGTATTATGCAAGTCTGTTGAGGTTGGCTCTTTGTGCTGCTGAAAGCAGCAGTTTTGAGATTTTCACTGATCTAACATGCTGTGGTAGGACTGATTCTGCTAGAGAAAAGTCTCACTGTTGCTTGGGCTTATAAAAAATGGAAAATCAAACAAATCCTTATCTTAATACACGACATGTTTATGCAACTGCCTTTGCACGCTCACATTTTCTAGCATATTAATCCAGAATTCAGTAACAAGTTGATTAGCTGTCAGGTCAGCCTTGTAGAGTGTTGTATCGTGCTTTTTGTTTTACTAGTAGGTTTATGGTTTGATTTGTAATTTGGTGGTTTTCCTTGGTGCTGTTTTCCTTTTGTCTCCGCCTTTTCCCAGTTATTTCATCAGCTAGTTTCTAGTTTCTATTTCTCCAAACTTTAGCTGTTTATTGAAACCGTTTTTCCTCTCTTGGAAGTTTATTGGTCCACTATTGTTATCCCCCTCTAGGTTTTTGTACTCCCAACTCTCCTGATTTGTTGAAAGTTGTACCTTCCCCTGACCTTCCCCCACATATAAGTCTTTGTTTGCCCCTTGATCGGGGTCCCAGGAGAGGAAAGGGGAAGTTTACCATCAAATAAAGTTTCCCTGGGACCCGTGTGTGCTGCCTGTGTTTTATATTGCGCCGAAACAATTGACAACTGGGATTCAACGGAGCTCCAGGGGGAACCTGAGGCCCCCCCCTTTCTTGTCATCAGCTAGCTGGGGAAAGAGAAGCTGCAGTAGAGCAGCTGCCATGTCAGCCACACTCCTTTCTCCCGCATGCTTCTCCTTTCTTCCCTTTTAAGCCAAACCCTCCCATTACTTTGCTTTAAAATACCAACCCATTTTGAACCTACAGCTGACCTCTGGCATCAGTGGCATCATCTTGTGGGCATCTCTCCTGTGTCCATGTAAGATATCCACGTACCCCAGGATCCCACACCCTATTGAGATGTGAGGTTAAAGACAACTAAGTGTTCTGCAATTGAATTCTGAAGAACGTGTCATGTTTTTACTGAAAACCATTTCTTTTCAAATCTCCAGCTTGTTGGAAGTGCTAACAATTGTGACATATTTCTCTGCTTGTACCAGTTCTGCAGAGGTGTCATATAGCTGAGAAAATGTCAGAACTGCCATTTTTCATCAACGCAAGTACAAAAATCATAATTAGCCTTTCCAGCAGACAAAGTCTAGCTACCGTAAAACCTGTTTTGTGCATTTGCAAGAAGCAGTAGTCACTCATTGTGCAGCCACAACTCACAGCTTTTGAGTCATGATAAACTTTCAAGGTGTCTGAGAGGGATATGACTAGAAATTTTATCTATGTAAGAGTGCTCTATCATTTCCCTTGTACCCAAACAGATTCATTTCCCCTTCTAGTTGTATGTGATATCAGAAAGTGTCATTCTGCTAGGGACAAAGCAAGTTGTCTCTTTTTCCTCAGAAGAAGGCAGTTCATTACCCTTTGGAGGTGCACATCAGGGTTATGACTTTCAAAGCTGTAATCACTCAAAGAAGAAGCTAAGCAATCATTCTTCTCATCACTCATCACTTCCCACCATGTTCTCCATAAATATTAAAACAGGTGAATATCACAGCTCAACAAGTGCCACAACTCAATCTGTGCCAGAAGAGTCTGAAAAACATTCTGGAAAAGAGTAAGAGAGCCCCATTTGAGGCAACAGGTGAATATCACAGCTCAACAAGTGCCACAACTCAACCTGTGCCAGAAGAGTCT